CTAATGAGAATGGGGTGAGAGACAGTATCAAAAGCCTTCAAACAAAATCATGTTTTTAAGGTGATGTCAGTATCAATCCTCTATTTTCAGAGAGTTGTGAAATAAGTTGCAAGAAGGAAGTCAGATAAAGTGCTGATGCAGCTACATTTTCATACAGGCCAGCATGATGATGTTGTACATGTACTACTCTAGAAGGCAGAAACAGTTGATACCATTCCTTAAAGTTATATCCAACAACCAAAAGTAAATTCATTGATTTATATACAGTGCATAATCACAGTGCTACTTCAGACTTTCCCTATTAAACTTCTCCCACTAATCACTGTCTTCTTCTGCCTCAACCAACTGCAAATAATTCTACGTTGTACTCCTCCTTGCTAAGGCTTCATTTGGTCAGTTCATACAGAATTCTTCTTTTTACTCAGTCATGCGACAGTTGCAGTAGTGTGTATGTATACGTTTTCCCTTGCCAGATAATATGCGGCAACATTACTAATGCCTTTCTATACCATTTAAGACAAAAAATATGGAAGTTTTACCATTAATGCCCACTTTATGCCTTTCTAGAGAAACCCAAATTTGATGACAGCACTCAGTGTAAAGGAATACTGCCAATCTTTTGTATGCAGAATGTATTTAGCACAAGCCAGCATGAAATGTAATCAGCAGAATTAGAAGAATGACAGAGTCACAAAGGAAGGCTTTAGGCTATCTTTGGCAAGAGGACTACAGGGCTTTAAGCCAGCTACAAACATATCAAACCAATATATCAATTCAAGCACAGGGAAAACAGCAAGCAGCTGAGGTACACTTGCTTACTTAGCTCTATGTTCAGACAACAGAGCTACATGAGTTACACAGATTTTTCTTCAGGGCAGACCAAGCTCTGAGCATGTTGTCTCACTTTAGCTCAGGTAAATCCCAAAGGAGATCAACAGTCTTCTCAGTTTTCTGCTCTCTCAGGTTCATCTGCACTGCTCTAGCAAATAGATATTTTGTAAAAGGAAGGCCATTAAGAAAGAAGTTCAGACCCTTTTATTATAACAGGCACAATCTAGTTTCAAGTTTGAAAGTCACTCCAAGTCATCTACAGAGGCCTTAGTGACTAAGGAGCATTTACAAATGCGTTTTCAAACAAGGTGGAGATAAGGCTGTCATTTCAACTTGGGAAATACTTCTTTCAACTGAACAGACATCCTCCCTTCCTCCTCAAAACCGTCTCGGCCACCTGGGGCCTGCGCTCCCAAGCCACGCTCCCATCTCGCCCTCACTCCCACCCCCTCTCCGCCCGCAGTCTCCCCCGACCACCCCCTGCTCACGCTGCAGCTGAGCCCGCTTCGGGGCCCCTGGCTAAGGGCACGCTCGGCCCCCAGGGCGGGCTGCCCGCTTAAGCACCTCGGAGACGAAGCCCTGCAGGAGCAGCCCGGCCCGCACCGCCGGGCGCCTCCCCGCCTTCGACGCGCGCGTCCCGGCGCTGGTGGGGCAACGATCGACAGCACAAGGCCCCGCCGCCGC